ATGAGTTGTGTGTGAATGAGTTAGACTTGGAGAATGTGTGGCATAATGTTAAGAAAGGTTTAGTGGATGCAGCTACCGAAGTATGTGGTGTTAGTAAGAGAACGAATGAAAGGAAAGACAATACGTTATGGTGGGATGATGAGGTACGTATGGAAGTTGAAGCAAAGAAGAGAGCATGGCTAGATTTACTAGCGACCAAAGCTGGTAATTCTGGCGGTAAGAATGATGAGAATGAAAGAAAAAAGGCTGAGTTTAAACGTTTAAATAAGAGAGTAAAAGAATTAGTTGAAAGGAAAAAGCAAGAAAGAACGGATAGGAATGATAGAAGAATATCGGATAACTTCCAGGCAAATATTAAAATGTTCTGGAAACTCGTAAGAAATACCAGGGGACTTTCAAAACAGCCTAGATTGAATGCGATACGAGACGAGAATGGCTGTATCCTGAATGATGAAGTGTTGAGTCTAAAGAGATGGAAGGAATATTTTGAAAGCGAATTTATGAGTGAGGAGAAGTGTGAACTAAATGAAATAGAAATTCCGAAAGAAGATGAAAGAGATAGGGAGATAAGTATAGATGAAATAATGAAAGCAATGAAAAGCATGAAAGTAGGTAAGGCAGCCGGATAAGATAGAGTTTCACCCGAAATGCTAAGGGCTGGAGAGGACGTGGTGGCAGGCCTGCTGTACACCTTGTTTAATTTATGTTGGGAACTAAAGCGGGTACCGGGAGACTGGTGCAAAGCCGTGATAGTCCCAATATATAAGGGAAAAGGGTCACAGCAGGACTGTAAAAACTACCGTGGTATCAGCCTTCTTAGCATTGTGGGAAAACTGTATGCTAAGGTACTAATTGAAAGAGTTACGAAAGAAACGGATTTAAAAATTTGGGATGTGCAAGCGGGATTTAGAAAGGGAATGGGGTGTACAGATCAAGTCTTTTCCATGCGCATGAATGCGGAGAAGTTTTTGGCGAAAAACCAAAAAGTTTTTTGTGCGTTCATGGACTTGGAAAAGGCTTATGACAGAGTGGACAGGGATGTGTTATGGCAAACGCTGAACGCATTTGGGTTGAGCACTGGTTTGATACAGGCATTAAAGTCTCTGTATAGGGACTCGAGTGCTTGTGTTAGAATCAACGGGGTCTACTCGGACTGGTTTGGCATCCATAAAGGTGTCAGACAGGGCTGTGTAGCTTCCCCGTGGCTGTTCAACCTATTTATGGACAGCTGTTTGGAAAATTTGAAAGTTGAAGAATGCGGGTTAAGAATGGGTGAGTTAACAATCAAATGCCTTTTGTACGCCGATGATCAAGTCATACTTGTGTCGTCGGCGGCCGAGTTGCAAATGATGGTTACATTAATGAACAGGTCATTAAAAGAAAGGGGAATGAAAGTGAACGCAAGTAAGACGAAAGTGATGGTTTTTGAAAGAGATGAAAGCAAAACGGTATGTGAAATAAGAATAGAAGGAGAGTTAATTGAGCAAGTGCATGAGTCCGTATATTTGGGATGTGTATTCAGCAGGGATAGGAGATATGATAAGGACATTGAACGACGAGTGAATGCAGGAAATAAGGTAAATGGGGCTCTACACTCTATTGTGAAAAGTCAGAATGTGTCAAAAAAAGGAACGTATTGCAATTCACAGTGCTGTATTAGTCCCTACTTTAACGTATGGTAGTGAAAGTTGGGTGTGGCAGAAGAAGCACGAGAGTAGAATAAATGCAGTAGAAATGCGGTCGCTAAGGAGTACGTTAGGGCTGAATCTGAGTGACAGGGTGAGAAACTGTGTGATAAAAGAAGAGTGTGGTTTGCAAGATGATGCGGTGACCAGGATTAAGAAAGGAATGCTTCGGTGGTTTGGTCATGTAGAAAGAATGAATGCGGAAAGACTGACAAAGCAAATATATGTTGCAGAAGTGAATGGAAGAGTCGGAAAGGGACGTCCTAGGCGGAAGTTTGTCGACCAAATTGGCGATATACTAAAAATGGGCCAAATTAAGAGTACCCTTAACCGACGAGCATGTATGCGTAGGTATATAGATGTGGAAGAGGCGAGAAAGGTATGTCAGGATCGTGCTAAATGGAAGTCTGTAGTCTCTGCCTACCCCTCTGGGTGACAGGCGTGAGTGTTTATGTTATGTTATGTTATGAAATGTATGTTTAACGTTAAGGAAGTATTTGTTTTTCGCTCTCGTATAATCTGCTGAATATATTTAATTGAAATCCATAACGAATTTCATGTTAGCGATACCATACATAGTTTTTAGCCATGATTTATTTTAAACAGACTTCCAAAAAAAACACCACACAATTCGACCACGTATGTTTTTGCTTTTATTTAACTTGCACTTTTCGTATGTAAGTTAAAATATTCCGTCAAAATTTGCAACCATTTTTTGACAGATTTAACCTGATGTCACAGACAGGAGTGTCTCCTCATGAAGGAACTGCTTAATGGTTAATAGCAACTGAATGAAATTTAGTATGCGTATAAAAGCTTGTCTGCAAAAAGTATTGTTATATTTAAAACTTATTTTGTTTGTGTTGCGTGACCGATTTTCATAATTCTTTTTTTGGTAGTAATAGGATATTTCATTCTAACTTTTTATTAAATAAATCACTAAAGTAAATTTAAATTATAATATAGAAGTTTTTTTAAATAAAAAATGGTGAAACAAATGTTCAAATAAACGAAAAACAAACTTTATCGAAGTAATAACTCTTCTCCTTAACTTTCAAAAGCGAAGATTTTTTTTATGGAGATGTTATTGTGCTGAATGAAGTCTCAAATAAATGATTTTAATTTTAAGGTTATCGTACAAAATGGCACCGCTAACTGCTACGGAAGAAATGAAACGCTATCGAAATAAGCCAGAATAAACCAGAAAAGTTAGAAGAATCAAGACGTAAAAATTTAGAAAGGATGAAAGTTAAACATAAAAAAAATCTGAGCTTAGTGACGAAAAACGGGTAAAAAGAAAGTATTGGGGAGATAAGCAAAAAGAATGCAGTGCAAAATGGAAAACAAAATCAACAAAAATCATAAAACGTCAATCATTCATTGGAATAGACAGAAGCGGCAAAGAATCAAGAAAATAAAAAAGATAAAAAAGAGAGCGCGACAAGACATTGAAATATTACATCAAAATGTTACATAAACTACAAAAATTACTTGAAGAAAACGAGAAAAAAATTCAACAAAATGTAAATCTTACGCAGCACTAAATAAAAGATTGTACAGTATTAAACTGAAAATGATTCTAAAGTAAAAAAAACTAGAAAACATCAATAAATAGCTCTGGTTATTAAACCTTAAATAAATAAATTAAGCCTTAGAAGCATCATTACAACAAATTTATAAAGATTTGAAATGGATGCACATGCACATGCTGTGCTGCACATGCAATCGCATAGATTTAGCATTTTTAGAAATTACTTTTTTGAAATATCAACTTCTATATCATCTATATTTCTTAATCCTTGCATTTTGATGAGAATGGAGATGCATTCTCATTCAAATCTATTAATTAACAACAAAAAACGAGAGAGTTTTCTTTTATTTAGGGAAATCTACCAGTTTCTTGAAATTGAGTCTATTTCCCGTATGTTACATCATTAGTTTTAAAATAAAGGGTTGCTTGCTTTTATTAAGAGTCCTATTATTATTTTCCGTTTATTAAACTAAATCCAATTATACCAGTATTCCTAACAATGTAAATGGGCCTTAATAATTTCTTGGTTACCAATCATAATCAATTTTGTTACTGTCCATAAAAATAATGAAGGTTTTTAACTGACAAAAGTGTTAGTTTCGGACTTTAACTAATTATATTTACTTATTAATACTTGCCGAAAAATTGTAATTTTATATCATCAAACAATATTTACATTTTATTTTTATTTTAAAATACATATAAAAAATTGTTTGGTTTTCGACCTAAGTAATACAGTTGAAAATGTTTGTATTGTAATTTAAAAATTAGCAAACTTTTTCAAGTAAAATTTTTTTAGGGGTTTAAATGCCTTCATATGTAATCGTATAAAATATTTAACACGGAAAATAATCAAAGAACTACATATAATTAAATGAATTTCGTTTAGTAACAAAATTGAACACGGTAGTGCCATGCTCAGAAATAAACCTGTTTTATTCCTAAATGATATATATTTATTGGTAATAAATATTAAATTACTCAAATGTTATATTACTTTTAGCAAATTCTTTAATAAAATCATTTAAAACAAACACATTTTTAAAAATCACAAAAAATATTTTCCGTACAAAATTTTTGAGAACTGCTCAAATTCATTGTTCTATTATACTTCCCGGCCTATTCTAGTCACTATATATTTTTATCTTCAAATCATTATGTGAAAAAAGCAATCATTAATGTGTAATTGAATACACAACTCTCTTCTTATTTCTTTGATAACAACAGTTCTTTGCATAAAGGTCTCAAAGAAAAGGCTTTCAGAGCGATAAAATAGCCTACCTACTTTATATAATATTATATATTTTACTTATTGATGTATATGTATTCACATTGATTAATATATAATGAAGATTGATTGATTGAAATATTCAATTCAAAAATAACGATTTCTAGACTTGAAGGATCGGTCTTTAATAATAATATTACTAATGCATATTTTATAATTCAATAAATTAAATGTTATATTCTGTTTATATATGTCTTATTATTTTTATTATGTAATTTAGCTCAATTATGAAAAAAATATTTATTTTAATAGCGCTACGGTGTGAGTGATAGCCACTATAAAGTTTAATATTTCCCGCATGATGAAATATTTTTGCAAAGCATAGTAAATGAACCGGCCAGTGTGGCTTACGACTGGATGTACGTAACAGTTGAATAATTTCTCTACTCGTGGTACAAACTTTAGTTTTATCGAGTCAATGAGTCAAAGTAATTGTGTACAAAAGTTAGGATTCAAATATTTACGATATTTCTTTAAGTTATTAGTGAAGTGAAAAATGGCGGAAAGTTTACTTTTCATATTTTTAACATTTCTCATTATTTTGTCAGTAAATGTAAATTGTTTTAAATTACAACAAGTTCTTATCTTAAGTAGACATAGCTTAAGAGCTCCACTAACGGCTAACCTTAAGAACACGTCACCCCATAAATGGCCCAAATGGAATTATGAACACGGCCATTTAACAGACAAAGGTGCTTTGTTAGAAAGTTACATGGGCGAATATTTTATTGAATGGCTAAATCAGCAACGTTTATTGTCGCTCGAATGTCCAACAGCTGACGATTTATTTGTTTATGCAAACACCAAACAACGCACGCGTGAATCGGCAAATGCTTTCGTGAGAGGTGCATTCAAAAGTTGCAATATTAGTGCCTACAGTATAAACTCGGAAAAAATGGATCCCGTTTTCAATCCGATTATTCGCGATACTACAGAGGAAACAAAGAGAAAAATAATAGCGGAAATGGAAAACAAATTAAGCGAATTACACCTCGACGAAGCTTACACGTACCTAAGCGAAATTCTCGACTTGAAAAATTCTGATATTTGTAAAAGTGAATTATTCTGTGATTTTTTACAAGCTAAAAATGAAATCGTGTATGTAATAGGACAAGAACCTCATATTGTAGGACCATTAGCAACGAGTAATAACGTCATGGATGCATTTATTATGAGTTATTACGAAGGCATGGCTAATGAAGATGTCGCGTGGGGTAAAATAAATAAAGCAGAACAGTGGACGCTATTGTCCGAAATAATTCGAGAAAACCAAAATGTTCGCTTTAATAGCTCCACACTAGGCAGAAATGTAGCGAAACCTTTATTAAAATACATTAAAGGTGTTTTTAATCAGATTCCGCCACGAAAAGTGACAGTACTGTTCGGTCATGATTCAAACCTTAATTCAGTTATGGCTGCTTTGGGATTGAAGCACTATGAGTTACCAAATCATTATGAAGCAACCCCACCAGGGGGGAAAATTGTATTTCAAAAATGGTACGACGAAAAAAAGAATCGACATTTATTAAAAATCAGCTATGTTTATCAAACGATCGATCAAATACGAAATGCTTCCCATTTATCAACTAATAACCCGCCTTTTTGGGTCGATCTGGAGTTAAGTAATTGTAGCGGCGACAAAGATGGATTCTGTCCTTGGAAGAAATTTCAAAAAATTTTAACAACTATCAATTAATTCAAAATTCAAGATTATTTAAATGTGTTTCTATAGGCTTTTACTCGATTATGTAAATGTGAATTCACAGAGATTTTTTTTTAATTTTAACAATTATTACGAAATTGTTTAATATAGTTTAGTGGTAACCTTTTTATAAAGAAGTCAACTTTTATTGAAATAACAATGAATTCGACTGTAACACTGACCTCCATTATACAAGAAATATGGAGGTCAGTGACCTGTAATGATAAAAATAATAAAATAAATTTAGATTACCTTTAATGTAAAACCCTACATGTTATATTATTTATTACTTTTTTAACTCACAGAATACCAGTGTAAAGTGCTAAATTAACGCTACTGTGTTTTGTATGGTTAGTGTAGAGAACCGGAGACCCTTTTTACTGGAAACGAGGCATTCTATCTTAGTTCTCACAGATGACAACGCATCTGCATTTTGATCCGTAACCGAGGATATTTGTAGATGTCTATGGGCCACAGCATCCACTTACCATCAGGTGATGACCTTGTGCTCGTTTGTCAACCTATCCTATAAAGAAGTCGTTACTTTCTTTTTTTCCATTATATTAAATTTAGTAAAAGTTACTTTGCCCACAGTAACCCTAGTTTGAAAAGCACCTCCCGCCTTGCCTTAATTGCGTGTACTATCTCCGTCACCACTAATCCCAACACCACTACTCCTAACACAACTACACTAGAAAAGACACACAACTGTCTTTTCTAGTGTTTCAGATTAGTGGTGACAGGGGCGAATTTCTATTATCAAGTATTTGGCCGACCCTAAAAGACAGTGTGTTTTTGACAAAATTTCGAGGTCTGGAATAATTAATTTCATTTTAATTTTGAAACTGTACAACTTACATCTAATACATTCTAAGAGTTTAAAAAATTACGTAATCTAATTAAGATACTCTCATTACAATTTACCAAGTAATTTGTTTTTTATAAGCAGTCAAAATTTGGCACATTTTTTATTTCGAAAATAGCTAAAATTTACGGAATTACCCATATGGTTGTAGAGGTAGTAACTCTGCACGGCTGTGGAGCAAGAATGTTGTCAAAGAATCTGCTTTACCAATGCACGTGTCACGTACAGGTAATAAAACCACATACAATTTGCAAATAAAATTTTATTTAAATTAATTTTTCTTTATGGTCGAGTTTTCTAAAGTTATTTCTATACGTTGGAATACTGATTCATCTGTGTTGCAGAAGTGAACGGCAGAGTCGGAAAGGAACGTCCTAGTTGAAAGTTTATGGATCAAATTGGCGATATATTGAAAATGGGACAAATTAGGAGTACTCTTAACTGACTGTAGGTATATGGGCGAGAGAGGTGTGTCAGGATTATGCCAAATGGAAAGGTGTAATCCCTGCCTACCCCTCTGGGTGACAGGAGTGAGTGTTTATGTTTAGTACCTGGATGACCTGATTGACCTTGGATTTTTTTGAAATAACATTTAGATACAAATTACATACGGATGAAACAAATGAAAAATCATGAGAGCAATTAGTTTAATTAAAATTTTCGTATTTTTAAAAAATCTAAAAAAAGGGCTCGAAATAATAGATTTTTTCACAAAAAAAGAGAACTTGAAACAAAAAAAGGAAAGAAGTCGGACCAAAGACAGGACGTGAACCGAGGCATTACGATTTCGCGACCGCTCGATATCCACTTGAGCTATTACGATCATCAACACAGTGTCAAAATTTACCTTCTTATATTGTTTCCGAGATTCCGATTATATATACAATAGGTAACGTAATTAACTCACACTCTCAGACACCCCAATTACTATATTATGTTATAATCGTAATACATACACTGAATTTTTAGTTAAACATTTTTACGCACTGATTATTTATCATATTAGTTATACTAATTCTGGAAGAATGTTGTGGTCACAGTACAAATCCACGAATGCAAAGACTTTAACGTGCTTGAAATAAAGTACATTTTTCTTTATTTTATTTAAAGAACTTTGAATTAGTAATAATACAAATAAAACTAAAAGTCTTATTGCCTTAAGTTACGGTCCATTACAGTTTATTTTGACTGTACAGATTTAGTGTAACTGTAATTTACGTAGTTTTAATTATTTTTGGGATAAAAAATTACCTATATTAAAATGATAGGAATCGATTCAGTAAACGATTCTGAACAAACTACTTTCTCAAAGTGCGTTAATTATGTTACATGGTTATATATACAAGAATTGCTCGTTTAAAGGTATAGGATTATGCAATCGACGTATTGGATACAGAAATCTATACAGCCGGATAACGCCTACACTCCGATATTACAAATTTGTGAATTCATGCAACTTAGAACCTGTTTTATTCGGGAACCGGTTTCAGTATTAGTATTATAACAATTCTGGTTCTAACATTAGTACATAATACATACATAAACACTCACGCCTGTCACCCAGAGGGGTAGGCAGAGACTACAGACTTCCATTTGGCACGATCCTGACACACCTCTCTCGCCTCCTTCACATCCATACACCTCCGCATACATGCTCGTCGGTTAAGGGTACTCCTAATTTGGCCCGTTTTCAATAAATCGCCAATTTGGTCGATAAATTTTCGCCTAGGACGTCCCTTTCCGACTCTGCCATTCACTTCTGCAACATAAATTTTCTTTGTCACTCTTTCCTCATTCATTCTTTCCACATGACCAAACCACCGAAGCATTCCTTTCTTAATCCTGGTCACAACATCATCTTGCAAACCACACTCTTCTCTTATTACACAATTTCTTACCCTGTCATTAAGATTCAGCCCTAACATACTCCTTAACGACCGCATTTCTACTGCGTTCATTCTACTCTCGTGCTTCTTCTGCCACACCCAACTTTCACTACCATATGTTAAAGTAGGGACCAACACAGCATTGTGAATTGCCATACGTGCCTTTTTCGACACATTTTGACTCTTCACAATAGAGTGCAGGGCCCCATTTACTCTATTTCCCGCTATTTTTTCTAACATTAGTATTGCAAAATATCAGAAACTTTTTTTTTTGCGCCCGAAGCAAATATAGGGAGGGAGGTTGGGAATACTCATAGCATACCACGCAGCCGGCTGCGTGGTTATGTGGTGACTTTTACCCACTAAACCCAACCTTTTAGGAACTGGCTTAACGATATGACTAGAGATCTCTAAGCCGTATACGAACGCGACCCTCCTTGGCTGAAAGGAGGGCGCAAGCACCGGTAACTTACCACAAACACGCATTTATAGAGTGTTGGGTCTCATTTCCTAAAAATAGTACAAAATTCCTATGCCGTCACTTTCACAGTTATTTTTATCTTCGTTTTTTATAGTAAGTAGGTATAATACTATGGATCTTTTATACACACATATTTGTATATGTGTCTATGTGTATGTATGTATTAATATATATTATACTTAGGTGTTTTATTCATTCAAGTGTTATTCTGATATTTGTGCAGGCACATGTATACTGTTTATTATTTTTTCTTCTTGTGCTCTACAATCGCCTTATAAGGTTATCTTATCACTGCCTTAAAGTTGAATGGCAGAGAGAATGCTTATTTAGAATTAATTTTGCGTTCTGCGAACATGTTGAACATGAAGTCTGCAGTCTGCGAACATGTTCAAGATCGTCCCCACCATTACATTCGTTTTGATAAACCACAAATTCTCGCAAAAGAACACCGATTCCTACCAAGGATGATACGCGAGGCTATTGAAATTAAAAAACATCCAAATTTCAATAGAGAAGATGGATGGGTGCTGCCACCTGCTTGGGATCCTATAATTAACAAAATTAAACCCAAACCTAAGCATACCACTGCAAGACTTCATGATACTATAAGCTCGTTTTGCGTAAATCGGACCAAAAATTAATATTTAAAAACTGAAGGTAGCCTGACTAACTATGACATTGGGACGTCAAACATCTCAGTCCCCCCCCCCCCGTGACCATGGTTGCTGTAAAGCACCCGAAACGTCGGGAATTAAAAATAAGTAAAAGTAGTGAAATAAACGCGATAAAATCCGTAAATTTAGTTTTATTCAATAAGTAAATTAGTTAATTGTTTTGCAGTACAAGGGTAAAAGGAAGTATCATCTTCACTTTCGACGGTCTTACATTGTGACGAGAATTACGAGTTATCGGTCTAGATATAAATATTATTACGAGAGGTTGCCTTTTGGTCTAGCGGTCGTAAACGCGACTTATAATCTAGAGGTCCGGGTTCTAATCCAGGATTGGGTCAAAGTCAGTAATTAGGTTTTTCTGACAAGAAATTCTCAGTAGCAGCCTGGAGTCAAGAAGTTGTCGATGTTACACATCGTGCTTTGGAAAGCGCTTAAAGCCGTTGGTCCTGATCTCTCTCCGGTTCTATCGGATTACTGTCCCATTGGAATATGAGAGTGAGGGAATACAAAGTGTACCCGTGCTTGCTTATACACTCGGACACTTAAATTCTGTCCTGCGATGGCTAGTCTCAGTTGAGGCTGGCCGCCGTGACCGTGAATTAGATTTGGACGACAATGTTGTAACAAGGTCCAATGTTGGATGATTGTTGAATGGATTGTTCGTTTAAATAGTCATTCGCGCCCTTCTTTTAGCAAGTTTAGCTTTTAGAAAAAAGGTAACAGACAAAATATACAACAAACAAAACACGTAAAAATTGATTTTTATAGCTTACAAATAATCAACTGAAAATTACCTTAAAATTATAACTCAAAATATACAAAGTATAGGTTGTAATTTTGATAATTTTGCTTTGCTTTTGGAAAGAACCAAAATTGTTTGCGACATAATTATACTTACCGAATGCTGGCTATTATGTAACCCAAATATCCCCACTTTAGACAATTATATTGGATATACTAACAAAAAATGTTTTAACCAAAATGATGGTGTCGCAGTTTATGTAAGAAATAGTCTCGGTGTCACGGTTGAGGAACCTTATTTTACGGGCGCAAGCTGTTTAGTAATTAAAAAAAGGAGTAGATCTCGC